TTCCTGCTGTGGCTATCCTTCTTAAAAGTCAGGAGGCATTTAGCATATCAGGTATTTTCATTTGTTGTTGATATAAGTACCTTTCACCTTCTCGGTGCAGCTTCTTTCTCTTTCTGGTAATTATTTTACTGTTGTTATATTGTAAAGCCATTCCTATTTTATTAATCCCTGTTGTTTTGTTCCTTTTCTCCTTCCTTTAGTGTTATTTTAGTCAGCTATTTCAGTTTTAGTAGTGATTTCAGATTATTTCAGGGTAGTCCTTTGCTTTTTTTGAGGCAGCTGCTTGCTCTTTTAATAGTTGTTAGGGTGATTTTATACCTCTTTATTTAATCCTTTTCTTATTTTATTCAGGCTGAGTCTATAATGTCAGATTTTCATACTACTTCTTTCCATCTTCTTATATGCCAGCTTTCTTTATTCTACCAGATTTGATTCATGCAGTCTAGTGATTCTGGATGCTATGGTTTTGCTGAACTCTCCTTTTTTTTCTTTTTCTTTTTCTTTTTTTTTTTTTGGTTTGTTTTTTATGGTGGTGAATTCAGATAGTAAGTAGTCCATGTTACAGGCATCCCTATTATGTTCATGTTCTCAGTCTGCTCTCTCTAAGATAACTTCCCCAGTGACTTGGTCCTATCAACTTTTACTGATAGCTTTTCTACACTCAGAAACATAAAGCTTATATGTTTACACAATGTTTATGATCCATCAGCTGTATAAATTTTGCAATTGTTTGAATTTTGTTGTTGTGTAGAAATCTTTGAGCAAGATCATACTGAAATTTTTACTATCCTCTTAAAATTCAATGATTTTTTTTCAGTTGGAAAGTGAAGTGTGATAGATAGATATATATATCTCTCTAGACTAGAAAGAAAAATCACAAAAATAAAATATAATTATTGATTATGAAGTTTCAAAAATGATAAAGGAATGTACAGCAGTAAATTTCAAATGCAGAGAAGGTGATTTTGGATACTTGCCAAGGTAAAAGAGATTGCACTCACTTTGAAAAATACAGAAAAGAGGAAAGAAGATGAGTATTAATGAAGAAAAGTCTACTTTAAAATCTAGATAGAGAATTCCTCTCTAAATTCATTTGTGGGTATAGCACTGAGATTCATTGATTCAGATAAACAAGCATATCTGCTCCATAGCTGTGAAATAACTATGGAAAAAAACATCACTAATGCCTGTGTTTGGAATGTTTTCTGTTTTTTAACATCTTCCAGTACTGATAAAGGGCTAATGATTATTTAAATATTACTCGTAGTATTAAAAGAGGATTAAAAAAATTTTTTTTTTAATCTCATGTTCAGGAGAGCCTAGATCTGTGAAAATAGCTATGAAAAGAGGCCAGATTATTAGTCAGAAAATAGACATTCTTGCATCTGGTATGTGAGTATACATGTATTTTTTTGGAAAGAAGCATATAATGCATATATGGTCATTTGTGCATTCAAATTGAATTTTGCATGCACATACAGAACTTCACTCATGCAAGAATGCAGATATTTACACAGGTATTCAGCTATTTTCTGACCAACCATTAAGATGACTAAGGGGGGAAATTTTATAACTACTATATCATACACACTTTAAAAAATAAAAATTTAAAAAACCCTAAACTCATAGGGTCTAGACAAATGAGCTCTGGGCAATTTAAAATGCTGACACGAAAAAAACTCAAGTCCTTAGAGAAAATGTTTGAACACTGAGGTCCCATCAGACAATGGAATAATCTGCCAAGGGAGGTCACGGAGGTGCTAGAGTGGAAAAAAACCTTGCTTAAGTTCTCCCTCGCTGCTCTGCTGATCCCCACTACATGTGAGTTCCTTGGTGAGCACAACTGTCTTGCTTTTCTGTTACCTTTTATCCATTCTCTGCCATAACAGATTTTCTGAGGAGCTGTATGACATGGTACTGTAAAGCCTGTGCTTCTCCACAGGTCAGGTATGTCTCTTCAGCTCTGCCAGCCATAAGTCCAGATTTTTCAGCTAGACTTGGAAGAAACACTGCATGGCTGTTTATTAGGCAAACTTTTGAGGGTTTGTTGGTTTTTTTTTAAATCTCACTCACACTGTGAATGGATGCAAATGTATCCTTTATTATACCAGAAATACACCATTAATTTGATAATTCTAATGTTTTGGAAGCTGAAAATTCCTTCCTGTTTTCAGCCTTGGAATGAAAATTAATGAAGTCTAAAAGGTCACTGGAAAACTGACTGTTTTTTCTGAAGGTGTGCAAGAGTGCCTGGGGCAGAGCACTCATACAAATGGCAGAGGTTTAGATTGCTCAGCAGTGACAGGAGTGCCACACCAGGTTGTGCTAGGTGGAGACAATGGAAGCAGATTTGGTGACCCTGAAACCTGCTGTGAAGGATCTTTGGCTGCTCTTCTAGCTTATTGACTTGAAATAGAGAATATGAAAAGGTGAAAATGCACTGGGTCCCAGTCTCATGATGCATATTATCTACCAGCCTTTCTTTTCATAAATCCAGAATTATCAGGCTTTTCAACAGCAAAATTAATTTTATGTATATATGCACAGTATAGTTTCCTGTGCTAAGGGTTTGTCCCATGTAGAGCTATTCTAAATGTTAAGCTACTATAGAAAAAGTAGTATTTCTGGGGCATGTATACAGAAACCAAGCAAACGTTTGAAAGCTATGAAAAGGATATTTGTTACATCTAACCTCCAGTGGCCTTGACAGTGTCTCTTGAAGATCATTTCCGCTGTTCTTAAAACCTAATTCTTAGAGTTTCACAGACTATCTTGAAATTTTATGACTAATATTATTCTTCCCTGCTGCTTTCAATGCAGACATAAATATACAATTGCATATGCAAGAAATAAGTACAGTTTTAGTGCTGTTTTAGATAGATATGTTTTCTGCAGAACAACTGTTTTGAGACAGAAAACCCTTTGAGGCATTTTATTCCTGTGTTGAGATATTTTGTCTCATATTCTTCCTGTAATTTTATTCCATTTGGAGACTTAAATTTCCCTAATCAGTGGGCATAAGACCAGGCTGTGGTTTACAACACGATTTACTGCCCAAATACCACAAAGGCCTTGATAGTATTCAGTGATTCTCTGCTCTCCATCCTTCTTTGTTTCCATGGTTATGCTCCTGCCTTGGTTGAATTGGTTATTTCAGTTTTCAAAGTGTATTTGCTATATATACAAAGGAAGACAAAGTTGCAATA